GTGCTACATTGGTATCTGGATTATAGTACTCTGGGCAAGCAACTATTTCTGTGCAGAGGATGCAGGACTAAGGCAGTGATTTGGTTGGGTAAGTTTAAGAGAGATCTCAGTATAGCAACAGGAAAGGGAACGGAGATGAATAAACATTACTATTGGCACTGCATAGTAGTTGGATATACATGATATTTACATTTAAATGCCAATGCATACTTTTCATTTACTCTACACCTCTAACTCATCTCTGCCAGTCTCTGGTGGAAATAATTTTCCCATGAGTTCCCAGCAATATGCAGTGGGCTTTTCCTGCACTGCATCTTGGAGTAATTTTGAGAGGAGATGCAGGGCTAGGCTTTTGCCCTTTATAAGCCAGGAACTTGGTGTGTGTGACAGGGAATGATCACCCTCTCTAGTAGCAAGCAGGTATGGGCCTGTTTACTGAGCTTGTGTTTGTAACTCTGAGAATTCAAAAACACATAAGCACGCTCAAAATAATCCTGACAGTTTAGAAGTTTTGGGGTTCTTTAATTAGTACTATTGATGTCCCAGTTTCTGAGCCTTTATAATGTAGCAGAGATCAGAGCTTCTAACTGTTCTCTACAGCCTCAAGAGCAAGGCACATTTTAAATTAAAGTGGGGGTTACCACAGCCACATGAATTGATGATCTAGTATATTGAGTGTAAGATAGTGCAAAACTTCAAGTTAAATAATGGCTGTTGGCAGCACTCTGCTTTTACTGTTGTTCCTCACTCTGCTAAAGCAGTGATTTGAGGCGATCGTAACTTCATGTATGCTACCTTTTCCTGTACAATCATTTTTCCCCCTTCCCAGCACCAGTTAGTTCTCTCTTATATTTAGTTCTCCTTTATATCATCCGTTTGCTTATCTGAAAAAACAATTTCCCCAGCTTCCCCAGACAAGTCTCTGTGAACTTGCAACTGTCCTCAGTCCCATACCAGACACATCCAGTCAGCTCCTCATACCAGGATCTGCTGAGGTACCTCAGAACTTCCCCAGCTCTACTTTGCCCACTGCATCCCTTTGGCTGGAAGGAGCCGAAGCCTCCAGCAAGGAGGAAGGTTTCCCAAAGGAAACAGCCTTTGAGACCTGAGGTCAGGGGCCCTACCTCAGGACAAAAAGATACAGATAGACTCCCAAAAGAGGGACCAGGGCTGAAATAGAAAAGTCCCAGAGCTGTCAGTGTGTGAGGGGCAGATTCACCAACCAGCCTGCACAGTTGCTTTGCTAGTTATGGTTAGAATTGCTCATCCTGTGAATACACAGCAGCCTTTTCTTCCAAGTAGCTATTTTGTGTTTTGTATGCATTTCAAGGTGGCAGCTCTTTTGAAGGGGTCCCTGCAGGAGCCTTTGTGCACTCACCACAGGTTTCCATTGCTTCCCTAGTGTCATTCTAATGAGTTTAAATATCAAACAGCTTAAAACATACAAAGGTTGCTCCCAAAAGGAGTGAATAGTCAGTGTTTTATATTCATTCAAGCATTTCAGCCAGTTTTAATCACAACAGAATATGTTTGCATCTGGTCCCAGTCCTGTGAGTCCTCCCTCAGTACTGTGGAGTAATTGAATATGATTAGAGGTAACTATTTTAGTTGCCCATTGACTCAGATTTCTGATAGCACTGCATAGATTTTGATCTGTAAAGGAAAGGCCTTGTGGATTGTCTGCATCAGAACAGACTGCCATCAGCAGTGGTGTGAGGGATACAAATGAAACATCGCTAGCCTCCTGCAGGCACTGGATTATGGAGGGAGGGAACACATTTTTAAACTGAATGCAAAAGACGGAATCTGTACAGTGTGCCTGTGAAGTGTTTGGACTTGGTATTAGTCCACACAGTGTAGTGTGAGTGTAACATCACAGACTTTGCTGAGGCTCCTGTTTGATGCAGTTGTGAATGAAACCCCAAGAAGGGCTTAAAGCTCAAAATATGAGAATTGAGACCCTATATATTCAATAAGATGAAATACTTAACACCTGACCATTCCAAAACCAGCATCTCTGTTGGAGGCAGCAGTAAAGAATGATGATCTAATAATTAGGTCACCCACGTTGAACTTGGAAAGCATTGTCTGTATTCTCTGCCCTGCTGATCCTCCACTGGGCTTTGACACAGCGCTTGGGCTGCTCTGTGTCATATTGCCCCTCTCTAAAGAATGGACATGCATTCTTAGTACATGAATTGCTTTCATGCAGTGTTAGTAGTGACCATGCAAATTCACTGATGTAGTGACAGGGAGGGCAAAGGCCTTTGTGATTTTTTATGCATAAATATATATTATCTATCAATCAGCTACTTCTGACTGTGGAAAAGAAAGTACATCAGAAGATATTAAATTCAATATTAAATTCAACAGGACCACTTTTGGCTTCGTGATGCTAAGCAGAAGTTTGCTGTAGGGCCGTAGAGTCTTCTAGGAAAACATTAATGCATACTTGCAATGTTCCTAGGCTTCATCTAGATGTTTGCTATTAGCCACTGTGGCAAAGAGGCTGTGGGAGAAGATGGACTTTAGTCAGACCTAAACTGGCTATTCTAATATTCCCTGTGTGTGACTAGTGCAATTTTCAGAAGTCTGAAGCCTCTACAGGTCCTATTTGTTTCTTCTGCAATTACAGGCACACCGTATTTCAGACCTGGTCTATGCCATCATATAGTGACATACTTCTCTGTCCTTTCTTCAATTCACACTCCATTTATTTATATTTCTTCCTGTAGGTGAGTATAAACATCCTTCCTTTATCAGGTTTGCCAAGTAGGTACTTTCCTTTGCTTGTGTTTTCCCATTTTTGGTTGCTGAGTCAAAGCATTTTTAAGAGTCTTTGTGTTTTCTGTTTGATTAAATGTAGTTATAAAAAAACAGAAAAAACAATACTCTTGACTAAAATGATCTGGTTTTTCAATTACAAGCATGAGAGAGGCCAAGAAAGATTCAAGTTGCAACTGTTTTGACTATTGTGAAATTTGCCATCCTTTCTACTTGGAAGGAACCAAATCAGACTCTTCCACACACCGCTCAGAGCAGATTTGTATCAGTGAGGTCTGATTTACAGGATTCCTCCCACAGGCACTGCTTTTCTACCCATGCAGTTCTATTGAGTCCAGTGGATTTTTGCCTGGTTTATTACTGAATGATCAAGTGCTGTACCAAGCTGTGTGGCTCTTCTAGTTAGTCCCAATTTACACTGATGCAGCTGATAGCAGGATTTGACCTGAATGATCCTACTGTTGCTGTGGCACATGAACTGTAACTAAAGCCAACGCTGCATCATTATCTCTTTAGAAATGCATGCTGTGTATGCACCTCTTAGCTCACTTCTTGTTTCTACAACTGCCTCCTCTTCTGAATAATTCTATTCACAAGCATCATTATGTTGCTGTGCATCTGCTGCGAGGAGACTGCAGGTCCAGCATGACATAACTGGGGCATGTGTCCAAACCCTGACTCTGAAGTCCTTCCCACTATTATCCATTCAGGGGAATGCCAGTGATCTCAGGGAGAGCTCGGAGTGCTCAGCATGGCCAGGTGTAACCCGTGCTGGACAGGCAAATAGGTGAGCACAGATGCCTATTGTGCTGGTTGTGGGCTGCCTGAGCTGCATCCGTGATCAAGAATTAGTTGACCTTACAGTGTCTTCAGTCTTTTGACTGAATGCCTCCAAAATGGTCCCTTTTCATCTAGTTTTCCTTCACTGATTATTTCCAAGCAGTACTGTGCAGCTTGGCCCCAATTTCAGAGCTGCTGATGCTGCAGGCAGTGCTGGTAAAGGTGGTTGTAGGAATGGGCAAAACCAGCAGCAAATTGGGGTAGCAAAATGGTTGTAGCAGCCTGATTTGTCTGTGGAGAACCATGCTGGCTGCTACAGTTGTGAGTCAGGAGAGTCAGGCTTGATGGAGCACTGGTTGCTGCTGCCATGGCAGCCCCATGCAGCATTGGCAGTTATTAAGTGTGCCCAAACCTCTCGGTAGCAGCAGAAGCAGCAGCTCTAAGGGTCCCTTGTGCCCAGCAGCCTGTCTCAGTGCTGCCTATCTTTATCCCATACTGAAATGCTGGGGTTTCAACCCCAAGCCCCAAATTAATGTTGACATATGGGTGATTCCCCCAGCCCTTCACAAAGCGGGGGTGAGTTTGCCTTTAAGCTTCCCTCCAGGGTGCGGCCGCCCTTGCAGGGAGAGCCGTTGGGTAAATGAGCCCCAGGTGTCCCACATTAAGTAAACAGAGATCGGTGTCCCACTTGGGGATAAAAGCTGGGACCCCTTGCAGGCAGGGGCAGTGTCTGTCTGTGAGGTGGATGCATTTTGTAGAGTTTTCTGTTGGGGAAGGATCTTCTATCTCCCTGGGGCTGGGCTCCAGTCAGGTCTGGCTTTTGTAAATGTGGGTTGTGTAGAGATTCAGTATGTGGCTTTCTTGGTCTTATGTGTTTGGTTTTTTGACTTGGTTGTCTCCTGTCCCTTCTATGGGAGACTGCATGTCACCATTTATTCCACCTCTTGTTTGTTGTGCAGTATTGTGGTTGGGGTCAGTGGGATTGATGTCAATTATGTATAATCTGACTTGTTTGTACCCCCAGTGCTCACCCATGTACTGACCCTTTTTATCAAATACAATTTGGTTATTGGTTCATCTTTATACTGGCTGTGTCCTTTATGCTAGGCCTGATAATTGGCAAAACACATACCCCAGGGAGCCAAGGTACATACCAAAAGGTTTCAGAAACTAAGAATCTATTCTCCAGACTAGTGTGTTTGCCTGATCAAGATTACTAACTTGAATTCTCTAGGCCTTTCTTCTCTTACCGTTTTTTATTTTGATCCTCATTTTCTGTAGTGTACTGAAGTGATGCAGAAGAAACATTTGTTCACACAAATAAGGGAAGGTAATAGCTTCCTTCCCCGACCACATGCTCTCTTGTGTTCCAAGTCTTAATTAAAATGGTACTAAAGGAAGCAAATCAATTAACAGATACCTTACAAGATGGTTTATTCACTTATACATGTACACACTACCAATTACTTACAAGTATCACATTACTGCTCTAGTTTATCCATTAGCAAATGCTGTTAATGAACTGCAGTGTTACTGAATTGGGTAACAGACACCTAGTAATCCAGGGAATTTATTCCAATATGTCAAATTTCTCTGAAAATAAACCTTATATTCTGTTGTTCAAAACATGCAGGAAAATTTATAATCTGGTTTCCTTTGCACATTTGGAAAACTACCTGCTTTGCTAAGGTGATATTCATATTCAAATCCTTTCTATTACAGTTACAAGTAGTATGGTTGCTTATTCTTCATAGAAACAAAATTCTGATATATCTGCTCTTATGCTTTGGCAGTGTGTTGGCTCTAAGTCCCTGACTCAGCACATCAGCTCTGCCTTTAATGTGTGGGGTTAATTTCAGCTTTTCACAGTCAGAAAGTTGATTATTGGATGGAAGGCCCTTGCTTCCATGGTATTTTCAGGTGATATTTCTTAATAATAGAAATTCTTAGTAGAATTTCTAGGTTGGATATCAGTCTAACATTTGCCTTTTTTTTTTTTTTAATTGAATAATTTCTGCTATATTACAGTAGTGAAGAACTGGAAGGAACTTCATGTATTATGATCTGCCACGTAGCATAACTAAGAGCAGACACTGGCTTAAAAGTCAACTTTAGGGATGCATGTCAGATGGGAGATTAAAAAATCCATTTCTCTAGAGACATTGGCCTGAGCTAAAAGTTTAGGCAGATCCAATTAATTTACAGTTTGTGGTCTTTGGATCAGCTAGTGGTTATTTGTATGTTGCAATAAATTAATGTAATGTTTTTCTTGGAGTCGCTCTGTAATGCTGCGACATAATAGCTATGCCTGTGAAATATTGTGATATTAATGTCATACATGCCATCTATGTGAGCCTCTCAGGCCTTTGAATCCTGCTGGGTTTCCTGAGAGAAGCCATAGGAATAGCGGGGGATGCCCAGCGTGGCATTGCTGCTAGCCAAATGCTCTCAGAGCTCCCACAGCTGACATTTGCTGGCCTGTCTTCACAAGCTCAAAGGAAATCCTGGCTTGAAATACAAAAATCTTCCTGCTTTTCTTGCACCTTGTGATGACAATAGCTGTTATAATAAAGCATTCTTGAAAGAAGTGGATTTAAACAAACAGAATAGAATCTATAGCATTATTTTCTCAACAGAGACCAAAGCCACAAGCTCACAGCTCACAGGTAAAAGCTGGGATGTGTGTACAGAAAAACTTTGGTTTAAAACACTTAAAATTATTTAAACTATTCTAAATGTTCTGAGACAAAGCTATATTTTTTTCTTATTGTCACTCCCACTGTAAGAAGTTCGTAATTGGAGCCCGGCAAACCGATTTTGATGAAATCAAATTCTACAGAATATGTAAGGCTAGGACAAGAATGAAGGGGCTGGGAGACTGAAATTATTCACAAATTCTGATTGAATTTAGTGCATTGTTTTATACTAAAAAATAGGGATGGGTGAATTTTGGAAATGTATAATTAGCTTGTTTGTAGTATGTTGACATGAAATGTTTTGTTTCAGATATCCAGAAATTTTCTTTTTGAGCACACAGAACTGCTTTCATTTCAATGTTCTAAAAACATGTGAAACATTATTCCAAAAAGGAATTTTTCATTTTAAATGACCGTAATTCATTTAAAATGGCTGAAATTACCACCTACAGTTAAACAGTAAAAGGCTTCAGTCCTAAAGCTAAAAAAGATATAACTTTAGTGTGAATGAAATGTTTTCATATTAACACAAAATGTGTATTTCCTGAAAAACTTAAGAAGCCTTGGTTTATTTCAAACTCAACTTAATGATTTTTAAAGTTACTTCAGTCATTACTTGCCTAACTTAAAATATGGGCATGACCATGAATTCTGCTGCTGAAATGTATTGCTACCTTTTTGATTACCCTGTATTCAATTGATTTTAGAAACCAATCATATACTTATTGCAGACTAAACAAGATCTATTAATGAGCAGAGCTCATCTATTTTATTTTCCTCATACATTTCCTTCATATCCATGCTGTTGGGGATTGCAGGCTTTTTGTGTACAGGTGATTGAAGTTAGCATGTACTGTAAGTTTTTCCTGTAACCAATCAATCAGTCTTTCAATTAAAGAACAAAGAAAGGAATTGGTATTGGTTAGATTCCTGCCTGTGTACAAGAGACTTCTATTGATCCTCAGACCAGGTAACTGTGGATTGCAAAAGGATTATTGATCATTTGTACTTTGTTTTTCTAGTACATTGATGTCGTCTCTGAAAAGAAAGAAACAGCACAGGTTAACAATAATTTTCTGGCTTTGGTTTTACCTGGAATGATCCATAGCATCATTGTAAAAGCGGGGCTGGGAGATACACTGGTAAAAATCATAGGAATTCTAGAAAATTATTAATGGAGCTGCTAGAATTACATTAATTGATTTCCTCTCACTTAATTTTTCTTTTTGTAGATGTTTCTTTGTATCTTTGGAGATATTTGTTTTTCCTAAGTGAATTAACATAATCAGCGTATGATTCTGGCTGTTGTGGTAACTTCCAGATGCCCTCTTTACTGCCAGGTAGGAATCCACTGGCAGCCAGCAATGCATTTTAGGGCAGCATTTTACTATAAGAACTGCTTCCCGTGTTGCAGACTATGGATTATCATCATTTGGGCTGCTTCCCCGTATTGCCTTGTCACCATGAGTTGGGAGCAGCTGAGCAGTACCAGGATCCATACTGTGGTTTCATCTTTCCAGGAGTTTACTACTTGGAGGAGTAACATGGAGTAGCTAATATGGGGGCAGCTGCACAGGGCAGACAGCCTTGCAATACACTTAGGCCTTATGTTAGGGTGTTCCAGGTACACAACTAGGAAGCTGGAGGATAAGGCAATTGAATTGCTTCCCTTGGGCTATGCAGAGTGTCTGGCAGATCTGGGCTGTTAGTAAGAACTCAGGGTAATCCCACAGCTTTTATTGCTGTGCAACCTTTCCCTTTACTTAGGTGGATGTGCCTTTACAACTTCTATGTGTCTGCCTAGTACTGTCATTCCACCTCCCTGCTCCACCAGTCTCCTCCTTCCTCCAGAACTTACCTGTTTTGGCTTGATCCCAGGTTTGATCTGCAAGGTATAGAGAGGGAGATATTAATTGTGACTTTCAGAGCAGTAATCAAAGATGAGCATTCAAAGAAGCAAGACATTAGGAGCTGGGAAAATGCAGGAACTTTCCTTCCTTTCTCTTTCTTCACTGCTCTTAATCTTTTATTCAGTTTTACTCCATCTAGCGTCAGTGCTTGGAAATAAGATCCTTCCTTGCCTTGCAGCGCTCAACTTGTTTATATTAGATCTCATGACTCCACTGATAAATGGTATGCATCGTAGTCCCTTTCCTTCTCTACTACTTAAACATTTTCTGATGACATTGCTAAAGAAAGAACTCACAGGAAATTTGGCAGGCAGGGACATGCTTCTTGTAATTTGCCTCAGTCTTTTCCCCTTCTCTGAGAGAACTTTATCACATGTGTCTTTTAGAAAGCTGTGCTGAAATTTTCTGAAATTCACTGCACTAACCATTAGTGTCTGTAAGAAAGAGTTAAGACCTCATCTTTCTAATTTGAATACCGCCCATGGGAGACCATATGGTGAGGCATATATAGGCTGGAATCGGAGGGATTTTTTCTGCTCTGCTCCGATTTCCTCCCTTATTTCTTTCTCCAGTTCGGGGTGGAGTCAGTCAGCATAGGTCTATAAAGTGGCAGTGTCTGCATTTTCCTGCAGCGGTTTCACAAGCAAGTTCCCATGGTGCCTGCTCTGCCCAGCCCCCGCGGAGCTTCCCGGGCATCCAGAGATGTCCGCTGAAGTGCAAGGAGGGAAGCTCACCAGCACCTAGCCAGTACCTGCCCGCCACCCTGCTTGCCTTCAGGCGGGTGACCACACTGGTGGTACCTGGGGATTGTCTCAGCACTCCTTTGCCTGCACTGGTCTGGCACTTCACAGATACAGGGAATTACTTTTAGTGTCAGAGCTCTGATGTTGCCCAGGATGTCATGGTTATGCAGCAGTATTTTTCATCTTCTTCCACACAGTTTGTGGCAGCTCTTTCCCAGGAAGGAGAGGCATTTCAAAACATAATCAGGGGACCTGATATGGACTGTGCTTATGAACTTGTCAAAACTTCTTCACACAAAATAACATAGATTTAAGAATGTGAATTGTTACACAAATTTCTGCCTGTCTGGAACTATACCCATTTTTTTTAAAAAAAAAAAAAGCCAGTTCTCTCTTCTTCTGACTATAACAACAGATTAGTGCAGAACAAGGCCAGTGCAAAGTGATTTGAGCTAACTGGGATGATTCAGCAATGGATTAGGTTCAGGGAGGCTCACTTGATCGCTTCCCCTGCCTGTGTTGGAGAAGGTGTCAGGGAACTGCTGGGAAGGGCCTTGTCTTTCAGCACCATCCTTAAGTAATCACTTGCTTGTGGCCTAATCCTAAAAAACTCAATCCTCTGCAGACAAAAAGAGCAAATAAGAGACTGGTTGGGAGGTCAATGCTCTTCTCCATGTAGCCCAGTGTAATAAGTTACCTAAAGAAAGTGGCTTTCTTGCTGATGTTCTCAGGTGGTTTTCCCACTGTTGACAATGCCAATTGCTGCCGGAAAGGATGATCTAGCCTTCCCCAGCACCTCAGCTGTATTATTTTACTACTTTCCTTGTGCTAGATGACCTTGAACAGCTTGGTCTCTCTGAAATGATTTTTCTGTTATACTGCATAGATTTTTAGCAGGGCCAGCTCCCTGAGGCAGTGGAGGTGTGTGACTGCCTGACCAGAACATGAAGCTACACTGAGAGGGGAGGGGAAGCAGGGCAGGTCTGTCTCTGGAGATGGGATCTCTGTTGTTCCCACACTTTGCTCTCCTCCAGGAATTTGTGGAAACTCGCTCAAAGGAACCAGTTCACAAACACTTCAAAATCAGCATTTCCACCTAAAAGCATAGTTATTCTTCAGCACTTGTCTCCAGCTCCCAGTCCCTTCATCCACCTCTCCTGTTCCAACACAAGCATTTCAATGTCTATGTAGTAAATCAGATTTGGGAGTGGACCAGGTATTGTTTTTAATGCACAAATAATAATGTAGTTACTTTTCAGCCAGTGGTTTTCTATCTTTTTTCCATTTACAAGTCTGTACAAATTTTCAGCTGAAGCTTAGGCCTCTGAAGTGTCTTTAAGCCCAGTTTAAACCCATATGGAAGCCTTTAAGCCCATAAACTTCTGTGAACCCATGAGAAATACTCCATGGATCCCCAAGCATTTGCAGCCTACAAGGCAGAAGTCAGCATCGCTTTGTGTCATACTTGCTCATTTCTTTCAACTTGCTATTTGCTCTCCGACACTAGGCTTTAAAGTGTACACGGAATATGGAGGTGCATAGTCATAAGCAACAACCACAAGAAAAACAAAATTATCTTTACTAATACCTAGTACAGGTCCTTCAAGGCAGGACTCTGGGAGAGTAAGAGGTCAGGGAACTGAAATAAAACAATCTGACAGACTATATATGTGATCTCAGAAAATAAGATTATTTATAGATTCTATTTTAAGAAGTCACTGAAAAAAAGCTCCTAGGAGTCCATCTGAAATTAGTGATTCCTTTTTCATATGTTTAGTGTGAACTTGTCCAGAAATTCAATGAGATACATGAAATTCTGTGAGCTGGAATATGCAAGAGCTCTGATTTGATGCTGTTCTAAGACCTGTGTCACTCTGACTGTCTTATATCAGGAGGCCTTGTTTTGTTTTGTGTTTAAGCTGTTCTTTAGCTATGATAGCAACTTTCATTCCTAGCTAATCCCATGTTGTCACCTCTCTGACAAGCTCTAGTCAACACAGAGCTACTCAGTCTGGACGGCAGATGGGCACTGCCTAGGAGCAGGAGCCTCTCTGTTCAGTGGCATCTAATATTTGAGTTACCCTTGGTGTCTGTTGACAGGATTGAAGAGGGTACTCTTCCAGAAACATTTTTTTATTTTTTTATCCAGACTTGCAACAGGCAAAGGTAGAGTTACTCATTTATTGCTGGAATCAGCGGCACCAGCAAGTTTGCCAGCAGAGACCACGATGGCTGTGGAAGGAATTGCCTCTGACAGGTGTCTGAATATTACCAGGAAAGCATTCTCCTGACTCAGCAGGTTTGGGACCAACTCTTACAATCAAATGATTTAGAGCTATTCAAGGCTAGCCTCAAACAGTTGTGCAGAGGGGTAGGAAGAAGTAAGGATTCCTCCCTGTTTGGCAGCTGTGAAAAGGTCAACTGCAAATGCAGCCCCTAGATCTGAAGAGAGCACAGGCGTCCTGGGCCAGATGCTCTCTCAGGGAATGTGGAGAGTGGCCAGAGAGAAGCAAAAAATAGCCAGAAGTGTGGCTCTGCCTGTCAGGCTGGTAGCTGGCATCAGTGAAGTATGCTGTATCCTGGAAACGGGTTTAATGAATTAATCTCACCCTAACAGTCTGGGCTATATGTGTGTGTGTATATATATATATATATATATATATATATATATATATATATATATATATATATATATGAAAAACTGTCTCTATGTGCATATGTGTCTCTATATGAAGTATTTCCTCCATTCAGGAATGGTGCTAAGAGGAACTGAGAGCCTGGAAGTGCCTACAGATTGTCTTAGTGCTGCTTTTTAAAGCCTAGTGTCCCCAGCACAGTGCAAAGCTTAGTGTCCTTGGTTCTGAATTATGTGGTATAAAGATTAATTTTGTTTTATGGAAAGGGTAACCTGAGCCAAAGTATCTTGTCCAAGGTTGTTCAGAAGAACAAGTTCGGCTAGAGAACCAGGTAGAAAAGCCAGTTTACTCTTCTAGTCACTGGTGACCATTGCCTCAACACAGAATGGGTTTTTACATTTTGTTTCTGCAAATGTATATGTGCGAGGAGTTGAGACAGCCATTTCTGCTGAGATTATTTGGTCATTTTTTAAATATTTACACAAACACACCTGGAGCTGTTTAGGCCATTTCTGTTCATACTTATGTTTATTTGCAAAAGCATGCATTATTATGGCATTTGTGCAGCTTTTAAATATTTTTCATTAAACTCAGTTCCCAGGATACATACTGAGAAAACCTAAGGCAGTGAATACAGCCTTCAGCCTGTTAGCCACCCATTAATCCCTACAGTGTTGAGCAAGGAATTGGGCCTGCTCTGGTGTATCAACAGGGACAGACTCATCTTGTGCAGGTGGTATCTGCTTCTTAGGCAGACGTGAATTTGCAGTTCACTAAGAGGACTGTAGCCCTCCAAGTTGTCTTCCACTCCTGCTCTCCTGATAGTTGTTCACTACAGATATCTGACCATGGTGGCAATGTGAAGAGAGGTTCTGCAGTCAAAGCAGACCACAGAGGAATCCCTTTTGATTGATTTTGCAAGGCTTATTTAGATCATAGAGGAGGCTAGGTGTCTTTACTGGCTCTGATTTTCCCTATTTGTAGACCTCTAACAATTTATTTCTACAAGGGTGTTACAGTGCTGGTGGTTAAGGGAAGAGCAACTGATGTCATCTACCTGGACTTGGGCAAAGCAGTTTACACTGTCCTGCACAACATCCTTGTCTCTAAATTGGATAGAAGTGGATTTGATGGATGGACCACTTGGTGGGTAAGGAATTGGCTGGACAGTCACACTCAAAGAGTTATGGTTAGCAGCTTAATATCCAAGTGGAGACTAGTGACAAATGATGTTCCTCAGGGGCCAGTATTGAGACTAGTGCTGTTTAACATCTTTGTTGGCAATATGGACCACGGGATTGAGTACACCCCCAGCGAGTTTGCTGATGATATCAACCTGTGTGGTGTGGTTGACACGCTGGAAGGAAGGGATGTACCATCCAGAGGGACCTGGACAGGCTGGAGAGGTGGGCCCATGTAAACTTCATGAAGTTCAACAAGGCCAAGTGCAAGGTCCTGCACATGGGTCAAGGCAATCCCATGTGCAAATGGAATTTGCAGGCAGTGGAATTGCCCAGGTTGGGCAATGAGTGGATCGAGAGCAGCCCTGTGGAGAAGGACTTGGAGTAGTAGTGGATGGAAAACTGACTATGAGCC